TTCTCTGCTCCTGGGTATTAAATAAAGTAACTAAGTACATAGTTAGGATGAGCAAGAGTGCCTCTTCCAAAATTGTGAATTTCATGGCCCCAGTGTCAGGGGTTCTGGTGTTAGGGCGGGGCTGTATTGATTATACAGTGAAAATGCATTAATTCTTTGAAAATCTACTTCTCTGCTCCTGGGTATTATTGAAACAAATTAAATACATAGTTTTGATAAGCAAGGATGCCTCTTCCAAAATTGTGAAATTCGTGGCTCCTTGATCAGGGGTTCTGGTGTTAGAGCGGGGCTCTATTGATTTAATGTGAAAATGTTTTAATTCTTTAAAAATCTTTTTCTCTGCCCCTGGGTATTATTCAAACAAACTAAGTACATTGTTATGATAAGCAATGATGCCTCTTCCAAAATTGTGAAATTCATGGCCCCAGGGACAGGAGTTCTGGTGCTAGGGCGGGGCTATATAGATCCCGTAGTGAAGGTGAATTATTTCTTTGAAAGTCTTCTTCTCTTCTATTGATTATAAAGTGAAAAAGCAAAATTTATTTGAAAATATTCCTTTCTGCTTCTGGTTTAAAAAAGCAATGAAGCTAAGTGTATAGTTATGATGAGCAAGAGTGCTTCTTCCAGAGTAGTGAATTTCATGACCCCTGGGTCAGATGTGCTGGTGTGAGGGTGGGGCTTTTGATAATATAGTAAAAATGCATTAATTCTATTAAATAATCCTGTTTGCTCCTTGGTGTTAAGCAGATAAACAAAGTGATTAGTTATGATGAGCAAACTTATGGTCCCAGGGTCAGAAGCTCTGATGTTGGGGGGGGGGGGGGGGGGGCTCTATTGATAATATAGTGAATCTGTAGTAAAAATGCATTATTTTTTTAAAAATCTTCTCCGCACCTGGGCATATCAGAGGCAAAAAGAGTAAAAGTTTTAATAAGGAAGATTATTTTTACCAGATTTTTGAACATCTGGACCATTTGGTCAAGTGTTCTGGTCCTGGCCAGGGCTCTACTATTTTGTATTCTACTGAGAGAGTTATTCCCCTTTGCCATTTACTTTTGATAATTTATCACTGTAAATAATGTACTTGAAAGGTAAATAGAATAAGATAATTATGCAAAAACTTTTATTGTATAATACAAAAAGTACTTTCATAGTTTTAATGATCAGATAGACTTGTAAGTAGTAGATAAATAAAAATGAGACAAAAATAACTTGTCTTATTAAATGTTCATCAAAGACCAAGAGAGGCCAATGTAAGAAATTTCAACAAAGGATTAAAATAGTACAGAAGCATTGATAATTTGTTAATATACTATATGGTGATAGTGATAAATGGGGATCAGATTTATAGAACATAATTTATAAACTGTTAATGAATATTAAGACCAATTATTTTGTTGATCATGATCACCCTATTTTTCTTGCTTTTTGGCAACAAAGTTTCACCTTTCAGTTCATATTATACTCTATGCATCCTTTAAATTGTTGTATCATACTCAGGTGACCGTTAAGGCCCTTGGGCCTCTTGTTTATTATTTCATTCTTGTTAAAACTACAGAGGGGAAGTGTGAATGTGTGAGAGAATGTGAGAAAAATTTCATTATGTAACTTGATATGTCACTCTTTGAAATAAAAAAAAGGTTCACTTTATGCATAAAATGGCCCTGTAGATATACCAATTTATTGACAAACACCTTATGTTCCATTTCAAACATCAAGATAAAGTAGAGACTCAGTGCTTTCATTTCGTATTAAAATTTTTCTCCTTAAAGTCCAGGTCTTGGAAAACAAGCTTTATGGAATTGCAATGTTCTTGAATTTTAAGGAAAACAGGTGTATTTAAGTGCTTTCAGAGAAGAAAAATAATATGTGCGCACCCTCTGATCTAAAAAAATAAAACATGTTTTGTAATCCTCAGAAACGGTTCTATCAGTAAATAATTGCACATTTTAGTTCAGACATTGCGCTCTATATTAAATATAAAAAAATAGCTTTAAAAATTGACTGTTTTTGTAGAATTGTTCAGGATATGAGGAAAATGACGCGTTTCATGACGTCATAATGTATTGACTGGCCAGTAAATTACGTCATTTTTGGTAGATATGCAATCGCCAAAGGTCTAAATGAAATTTAATGCATTGTCAACTAAAACTAAGCAGTTTCAGTTTTTCAGAAATTCACGGCCGAAAAAGGCTTTTAGTGAACCTTGTTCCTCTAGGGATTGGTGGAAGATTTTTACCTATTAAGGCATTTCCACCCTCCTGTGATGTCATAGATTTTTGCAAAAATTGTTATTCATTAAAATTCATACCCAATGGAAAGATATCTTTTGGAAGAAAGCTTTTCAATAGGTGAAATGAAAAATATTGTTCACTAAAAGAATTAAAAAGTAAAATATTTTATTTATTTAATCAATTATTTAATCTTTAAAAATGTTTGCTTAAGGCATCAACTCTCTTATAATTATATCTTCATTTACGCGTTTTCTTTATTTACTTCATAGGTAAAATGGTTTCCCGGATATTCACAATACAATCATATTTAAAAAGTAACAATTGTTTTGGAATTTTCAGTATCAAAATTGTGAATTTTTACTAGCTACTTTTTTATGCCGACATACAGTTATGATACACTTCAGTCTGTTTATTGAAGTCTAACATCTTTTAAAAAATATGACAACCTGCACATTTTTTGGCAATCATTAATTAACACAATATTCAGTGAAAACAAATGCATGAAAAATATATCTGATGATTTATATGTAATGTATGTTCACAGACTTGAGCTTTAAACAAAACATTTTTTTCATTGGTCATTGTTGCTATGGTAACCAACTGAATATCATTGTTGCATGAAACAAGGAACAATTATGCATAAAAAATTACAATTTTTGTGTATTTTAATATAAAAGTGCATCACAAACAGCAATTTCTATCCAAAAAGTCTTGTTACTATCTGAAACTATAATATAAAGTCTACTAGTTCTAACAAATCAAGTTTTATTTTTTTAAATATTTTTCAGTTAACTGAATCTTGAAATCTATAAATAGCCCAGTGGAGAAATTCAATAAAAAACCTAAATTTTGATTATTTCAAAGTTATACTTCATGAAAAAACATACAGGTTGCATAAATTCATTTATGAATTCAGAAACTGTATCCTCAAGAGATGTGAATTATCAAATAAAAATTCTGCGTTTTCCATTTTTTAAATAAATTGAACAATTCGAAAAAAAGCGTTTTTTAACATATTTCAAAAATTCCTGAAATCAAACACTATGCATCTGATGTACTATTCCATTAAAACATTTTTTTTTTTGATTGATGATTCCATTTAATGTAGAAAGAAATTATACAAATTATTGAAAAATAAAATGTAAAATCATAAGTGAAATTTCAGGTTGCCATGTTAACAATTGTTGAAGATTAAAACAAACATCAAGACAAACCAAAGTCCAGTGCATTTGTAACATTGTGATGTAAAATCCAGATTTATTTTTAACATTTCAATTTTAGCCCCACCTAACTGCAGGATCTACAATTTGAATTAAACAAAAATGAATCAACAAAACTAAGGAATCTTTGCATATTTACATGATATAGAGATGACATGCCAAAAAAAAAAAAATGATCAGAAAAGCATTGCTGAGCTTTCAAATCAGATGAGCTAAACAAGGGGATTTTTCTTAACTCAGGAGGAGTTATGATTGCATATAACTAGAAATATGTCCATAGAACATCCAGTAATCGCTAATTATATGAAATAAAAAGGAATCTACATTGCTTTTTCTTAAAGATTAGGAAAAAGGAAAAATGAGGACAGTGAGGTCAAGGTCACAGGGAAGGTTAATATTAGAAAATTATGACACAGTTGATATGTATTAGTGAATTAAATTGAATAAAATACCTTGGATGGTTTCTTTAAAACTGAGTTTTAAACAGTGTAAGTAAAGTAAAAGGTCATATGGAAGATCAACATAAAAAAAAGATTGACACAGCTGATACAAGTTGTCACAAATATGTATCAATGCACGTGTTTAGATAAAATTACCTTAAACAGTTTTGTTAAAACTGATTTATATGCAAAATTTAAAAATATAAGGTCAGATTTTATGTTTTTATAAAGTTGAATATTTCTCACCAATATGCATCTGTATATATGTCTATATAAAAATACCTTGAATAGTTTCTTTGAAAATGAGATAAATGCAAAGTAAAATGATGGCAATGTCAAGGTCATAGGAAGGTTAAGGTCAAACAATTTTAATGCAGTTAATAGCACTCACCAATATGTATCAGCAGAAGAAGTATGATAAAAATACTTTCAATAGTTTCCTAAAAAATGAGCTAAACAAAATGTGCATTTGATGGACAGAAAAACAGCTAGGCAGAATATGGACAAGAGAAACACTTCATGCTTTAAAAATTGGCAATAGCTATAGTGATGCATCAAAATATCATTGCAAAAGCTCAAATAACAATAACACTGCAAACATAAAATCAAATACATTGCATTTCTAAGATTGCCAGAAGATCTTATCTGCCTGTCTTAATAAGTAGTATTCAAAATGCAGAAATACTGGAGTGGACTACCTGTAATCTGTTTATGTCAATCACTGATGCTTTGAAAAACTTCCTCATTTTGAAGTTCACCTAAAACAGCTAACAAATCACTGTCACTTGAAACTAACTCACATGTGTCCACACAAAGTACATTTGATTGGTTGGAATTTATTGCAAGTCGAGAAAAAAAATTTAGGAATTCTGACTTGGCTGTAACCATTCACAAGGAGAAAACTTCCTTCTTCCATCATAGTTCGCATTTCCAGAGCAACAGCTGTGGGATTCTCCTTTCTACCACTTTTTTCTCCTTTCTTGAATAAATCGGTCAAGAAATTCTTCACTTTTTGAGAGAATCTGCAGTATCTTTTTTCTTTCTTCAAAGCCCATCCTAGACCTGGCAAATCTACACTGTCTGAAGCTCCTGACTCCTGTTCAACTCTAGGGCGGGTAGCTGCCAACACTGTCACATTTTTCTGCCCACAGTTTCTTTGCTTTGTCACCTGAAGATTCTGACAATTTTTTAAACACATGATTTCCAGTGAGTAGATGCTCATTCAGCTTCTCAAAAGTCTGATATGACTTTAAACATCCATATTCAGGACAAAAGAATAACTTAGAGTTCATTCCAGAAGGTTCATCATCAACACAATCATCATCATCATTTGATAAGGTAACAGATTGATCATCATGTGATCCTGGTTGATTCTCTGGTGTCTTAAGATGAATTTGGTCATGTTCTTCAGAGTGGTTGAAGTCACTTATGATCTTTAAACTGGTAGTAGATTGCGCTTGACCTAGTTTCTGAAGACTTTCCGTATCTTTGAAGCACCCCTCTCCAATTCTGTATGCTTTCCATGTTCTTAATCCTGCTGCTGTGAATTCTATGTTTGATATGAAGCTTACTCCCTTCCAAGAATGCTTTGTGAGTGTTTGCTTAGTGACATCAACATCAACAACAGCAATGCACGTTCCCTTGACTCCTGCACCACTCTCAATTGCCTCCTTCATCTGGATAGCTGTACATATATTATGGCCCTCTGAAGAAAAGATCCTCATCTTTGATCTCATGTGAGCAATTTTTGCATCACAGTAACTTTTTCCACTCTGTGCTTCACTGTAGTCGAAACGCTTCACAGTAATTCCTGAAAAATTGAGAATACATACAATAGTATTTTCATTTGATGAAAACATATTTTTCACTACAGCATACATATATTCTCAAGGAAGCTTTTTTTCAAGAGCATTTTTACTTTTGCTAGCATAATTTTCAAACAGACGCAACATAGCTACCTAATGGAAATTCAAACTTTGTTTCAATTGAAATAAAAAAAATTCAGAAAAACATTTTTATGCATATATTATGAATACCATAAAAACAGAATGTAGATGAGGAGAATGAGCAAATCAATCCCTTAAGAAGTATAATTTATGATAATGTTCTAGACAAAGAAAACCCATTTATTAAAGAGAAAACAAATTCCAAAGCATCAACAATTTCAGATGCTTACAAGGTATGCATTGTGCATAATTGACAAAGATTACCTGTTCTTTCTGACAATGATGGTATGGAGAGCCATATCTGCCCACAATGGTAGCACCCCGCGTTGTCTGATCTAAGGTAAGCTTCTGTAATGTGTGGCAGCTGTTCTTTAATAGTTACTAGTGTATGTTCTAGTAATGAAAGAACAGCAAAGAAGTCCTGTTTCACATAATCCATTATGTGAGTAAAAGTCTTGTGCTACAAAAGAGTAAAAATTGCTTGAGGCATATGTTCACACACTGTAAAGCAACTTCATTTTATTTCTAATTTTAAATACCAAAACTTTCACATGCTATACACATGGAGTATGCATAATACAACAAACAATTGATAGATCTATACCCCATAATAAATTTTTATATGTGTACAGTCAAATGTTCTTATATTGAACTCCTTGGGACTACAGAAAATCTTTGAGATGATGCATGTATCAAGGATAAAAATACTTGAATAATAAGTAATCTAAGAGGGATTTGATTGAATTACTTTGAGATATCCATGATATTCAAGAAATCAACTTCCGAGAAACTGTAGTTGAACTGTATATTATTTATATATTAACTTACCACTAAACTTCCATTTTGTTCCTTGAAAACTGCAACACATACATGCCAGTGTACACCTTTCTGTCCAAAGAAGTCTTTCATTTTCTCACGATACATCTGTGGCAAATATTTCATCGCCCAGTCTAGAATCACCAAAACTTCGTTGTTCTTCAAGTCATGCAGAATGTCTACTCTTCCATCATCTTGATTCACAGTTCTTATAATATGAGATCTCCAGTCCTCTACCTGTGTTACGGACATTTCCAAATCTTGCAATAGTACCTCTTGCTCTTCTGATGGAGTCTTTATGATGACCTTGTGGATCTCTGTGGCAGCTTCACCAAATATGTTACACCTGCTGCAGATCTTAGTATGCTCATGGTCACATGAAACACTAAGATGGCTTGATTTGGGGTCACTCAGTGCATATTGTAAGCAGTGGAAAGCACATTCATCTTCTCGCTTAATGTGGAGTTTGTAGTCAGTCTTTAAGTACAGTCGAGCATTGAACAGCTTTTCCTTCATTTCTTTTTTCCATTGTTGAGGTTCATCAAGTTTATCAACTAAGCTACTCAGACTGTCAAAAGCAGAAGATCCACCAACAGCAATGTTATCAAGTCCTTTCAGGCACTTCCGTTTTGATGCACTACATGCATTTAGGACTTCATATAGAGTTGACTCACTAAGAGGCTCAAAGTTATTACTGGCGCAGTATGTGTTGTAAAGTTTGATCAAATTTGAATGGATCATAGTCCTAACTACATCAGGAATTACTAAAATGTCTCCAGAATCTAGCTTTAGGTTCCTTGTAGTGTATGATGAAATCTGGTTGAATGATGGATCACTGAAAAAGTCTACTGCATGCTGTAACTTTGCAAAATTGATTCTCTGTCTGTGTTGAGAAGATACTGTTTGCTGAACACCTGATCCAGGACCATTTACGAAAGCATGTCTCCTAGCTTTATCTATCTGATGTTTTGTAACCTCTGGAAATTTTGTCAACAGTTCAGTCTTTGAACATCTGTTTACTACCAGAGACAAAAGTTGACATTTCACATTTGCATCCTTGATATTGTGGTACATTTCGCCAACAACATGGAAAAGGTCATCATCAGTAGCTTCTGAATTTGGTAATGCTATCTTCTTAAGTCGCTCTCCTTGATGAGGAGCAATTGCATCTAGTAGAGCTGTACAAGTCTCCAGTGCTTTCCTTTTGTAGTATCTAAAATTTAGAAAGATATATTTAAGATACTCTTTCTTCTGCTGTTAAAAAAGTAAACACCTACTGAATGTGACATGAGGTAGTCCAAAGCATGAGGCCTTTGGGTCACAGTATCACCTGAGCATAACTTTGAACAAATATGAAACTAGAGGTCTGAGTGAGCTCACAAACTAATTCCCCCTATATGCAATATTTTTGAAAAGATACCCCTCTAATGTTCTCCATTTATACAAGATATGGTGAAAACAGGAATTGAATGACCTTGAACTTGATCAGATGACCTTGGTTCAAGTTCTTGACACATGTCCAGGTCATAAACAATCTTTGTTAAATGTATAAAATATCAATGTTCTCTATAAAGAAGTTGTAGATTGAACAAGAATTTTATACTTTTTTGTCAGTGACCTTGAATTTGCAAGAATTATCTTGAGTCAAGGTCACAACACACCCTCGGGTCATAATCATTTGTATTAAGTACAAGCTGCCAGTGATTTATATTACAAAGTTATACAGTCAATATTGCAGATACTGACACACAGACAAGGTGATTTTTCTGTATACCATCAACATTGTTGGAAGGGTGGTTATAGTAAGGATGCTTCCTCATGCAAGTTTTTTGAAAGAACTTATATATTAAATTCACTGTTCATGCATGAAAACAGTAATCAGAATTTCATAAATTGAAGTGATTCGTTCACCTTAAAGTTCGTTCTTTAGTATCCATCAAGTCTGCTTGAGTCTTGATCGCAATGGACTAATTTGACCCTGGCTTAGGATGTTAATAGCTGTGTTCACATCAGTCAACTGAATTTCATGAAGGGGTAGAGCTTCCTCTTCCTGACTCCAATTAGAACCTTGACTACAAACTGCACTGCTTTGACTATCACTATGTTACAAAATTAAACATATCATATAAATTTTACATACTACTATAACAAAGTATATGTATTTGAACATATTATCTAAGTATTTTGAAGACAAAGTTTCAGTTCTGTGATATTTGTTTGACATAGGAGCTACATAGCCCATTGGGTATAAAACACTGACCTCTTCAAATTGTTGTCCCTGGTATGGAGTAGGCTGGGTTTTCATTGTCATGATATTTATAGTTTTAAAAGATGCCTCTAGCTCTTTCAAAATAATGTAAATGTATGGCTATACTTTTCATATTCTAGTTTATGTTTACAGTACTGTTTCAAAGAAGAAAAACTTAATGATATTTTCCACTATAAAAATTGTATGCTAAAACTTGATACCCCTATGCATGATGGTAGTCTAATCATACCTGGCTGTTATCAATCAAACAATTAATTTAGAGTATAAACACTTAAGTATTAAATGATAATTTTTTAAAAGATAAATAAACTGAGTAATAGGCGTTACCACATTATGATCATCTTGCTTTTCAAAAGACAAGAGCTGAAATATTTTTTCTCCCAGACTTGATTTTCCTTAAACTAAATGTTTTTACTTTTTACAGATGCAAAAGTACAATATTTCTTCAGATTTCTGGCTTTCATATGATATTCAAATTGTTCAACACTTACTTCATATATAACAGTCTCTGTCTTTTTTGTCCGGAGTCGACAACTCCATGCTTCAATATCTGTTTCAGCCTGAGCCTATGAGGATTATAGAAATAATGGAAATATTATAAAAATAAAATCATATCAAAGGAATTATATATTTGTTGAAAGACTATTTTGAAAATAATCCTAAATATTTTCATTATTTTGCTGTGTTGTTTACTAAGAATATTACTCATGATATAAGTAATTCTTTAAAAAATCTTATTTTCAAGTAATTTTTACTGGTTCTATTTAGTTAATTTTAAATATAATTTCAAGTAGTGTGGTTGCTATCACAACCATGCAACTATGGATGTAGCAACTTATTTCATACAACAAGGAGGAGGTTGCTTAATCATTAATATAAATGAAAATACACAAGTAGGCACAGGTAAATCATTCCTAGATGTGAAAGACCTCTTGAAAAATAAGACCGCATTCATTACCTCTCCTATCATGCCTATTGATGAAGGAAGATTCAAATAATCTCCATGACATTTTCTGCATATTCCTAAAAATTAAAAAGGGAAGTATTGAAATTTACAGAGGTTTTTAAGTGCATGTATCTCTATATACTCAAGTTTTAAATAATGATAAATAAATCTATGTGTAGAAGTCATTTTTGTATAAAAGATTTATCATTGCTATTTTTTTTAAACATGCAATCAACTTCAATGATTATTTTAATGTTTATATATACTGTTATATACATTTTGAACATGTAGCACATGGGACTACATGTATTAAGTTTGGTCTAAAATGCTTTCGACATGTAAATATTCTCATCATGAGCTGATCAAATCATTGACAACCAATTTGTCTACATTCATATCTACATGTATATAGTCATTTATTTAAAAGAATGTATTTGTAACACTTGTAAACATTAATTTAATACACTTTGTTGTGTAATTGTTTTAAACATGGAATTTGACAACCCTGATTTCTGATATATTATCTCATTTAATAAATACCTCAACAAAAAATAAATAATTTTTCATTTAGCATCCTTAGAAAAAAATCTTTGACCACTGCATCATTGAATCAGAAACTAAAATATGGGAATTTATAGTAAAAACACTGCATGACACATACCCCCCCCCCCCCCCCTTGTCTCATGGAAACAACCTTCACATGATATTAAAGCTGAACACGACTCGTAAATAGGCATACGCCATTTTCGATATTATATCTACGATACATCAACACGAGGGTATACTCTTCGCATTCGTTACACCTGACTGCTTTATTGTCACGGGTATTGGCGTGGAATGGCGACCCGTGTTCGTGCTGGTTATCTTGCATTACCTTTGTTTACATTTTATTGTATCTGTGTTTGTTTGTATACTGCACTGGCCTGTACAACTATAATTGTAAGTTTCTTTTGTATCTTACTTTCCTGCATTAGACGAGGTATTACAGTTATTTTTGTCGCTATCGAGTGCTGTATAGCATACGTCCGTCTACACCGGTGTCGACTGATTATACTGAACAGTGTCCAAGTCAGGCCCTTTATATAGGGGTCCTCAGATATAGCGAGAATCCGAACAAAAATGGCGGACACATTGCTTTTACGAATCATGTTCAGCTTTAAACTGTGATAGCGTGTGTCATTCTTTAATTCAGATTAAGTTACAATTCAAATTTTCTAAGAGAATATAAATTAACTTACCAGAACCTATAGGCACTAAAGTACCAAACTCGGAAACCATCCGCTTAGACATAAGAGAGTTGAAACTCCGATATGGCTTGGCATTTCCCTGGTGGTCAGGATACTGACAAGATGTCTTGGGACGCCAATGTACACCAAGAAAGTCTCTGTGATAGGGACATACCGTAAATGCTTCCTCAATAGTGAAGAGTCCCACGCGCTTGCATATTAGGTCTGCTTCACTGAACACATCAGCCTCTCCTTTCACGCCAGATCGAATCCCATTTTTCAACAGATGTGATACAATGCCTCTCTTGCAGTCTTTTAATCTAATCAAATTTATTTCTGATGGATGCAGAGGTGAAAAAGAACAACAACTTGAAGTATAAACACTGATGGAACATTTTCCAATGGAGGGCTGCCATTACTGATGCCCTGCTGCATTATGGGAAATAGGAGATAACTCTTATAGTTAAAATGGGAGGAAGGGGCTTAACTTTGGAAGCTGTATATTTCTTAGCATGTAGAAAACACAGAAAATCAAGAATTTTATATAAAAGCATATACCAAGATGAAAATATTTTTATGGAAAACTATATCTTAGAATGTTTTTCTGTGTTTCATTGATACAAAAAGGATGAATTTTAGTGATATTATATAGGAATTCAACCAAATCCATCAATATACTATACACAAATATACAAAAGAAATGAACTTTTTCTTATTCAAATATTTAAAGAGGTTTAATATGAATGACAACTGAGAAGAAAAAAAACAGATTCAAAAATTGTGTGTTATCCCTGCATGGAACCTGCCTGACTCTTACATGGAGCAGTACTGCAATGCATACACTAGACATAATAATAGGTTACATTTCTATATCATATATATATACATACAAGTAGTCATAGAAATATTAAGTTATATAAATAAATATGATGAATAAATATGAACATAACAAACAATGCCATATTTACATGTATGATATCTGCCAGTAGTATCTGATAATTCAAAACAGTTAAAGTCTCTCAGTATATATAAATCATTTTAACACAATTCTGTTTTATAACATCAAGTACACGCACAGAATCAAGATTCAGGAAAAAGAAGGCTCACAGACTTCAGCTCCAGAAGTTCCTTCCAAAGAGGAAAGTTCTCCGCTTCAAGCTTCCTTCGCTTTTCCCTCTCAGCCAACAGCGCGGGTGATGAAGACGCAATATACTGGAATTCCGTAGCTTTCCTTTGCTGTTGGACAGAGAGGGAAAGCGTGTCCAGCCACTGCAGGTGGCTAAACTGCTGAAATCTTCCTTGGTCTCTGGCACTGCCGGAAATTGGAATGATGGGAAATCCTGGGTTAAGACGTCCAGGGGTAACACAACTGCAGGGCGGCCCCGTGACTGTTACTCCTCCAGTGTCAGGAGATGCTACCTAGGAGAACATGGACCGCAAGAATCCTCAAACGAAGGATCAGGAACATGGTCATCAGCTGGAGGATTAAGATCAAGAGATGGAACAAAGAGACTTCGGATGACTTGTTCGCAGATGAAGGAGGAGGTCCAGAGGTCACTGGATTGGCCAAAAGTCGGCAAGAATCCAGGGTTTATTTAACTCTTATTGGGCCTGGCTACTTTCTGACACTTGCAGAGAACATTCTCTAAGGACAACTGGTCCACATGGTGACAATTTTTAAGGTGAACCTTCATGTCGTTACGCCTACGACAAAGACCGTTACAGAAAAAATACAGCACAGGAGTAGGACGT